GGCTTAGTGGAGCCCCAGAGCTCAATTCCGTAAGTCCAAATAGGTCTTATTGTAGTCATGTATATGAGTCTTTTGTAATTGACTGGGAGCTTAGAGCGTTTGTCTAGTAAGTGCTGGAGTAGTCGGAAACGTCGAGCTGTTTCTTGTCGTTTCAGTCTGGTATGAGGATTCCAAGTTAGAGGTCTGTCTAAGTGGAGTCCAAGGTATCGAATTTGTTCAACAGGGATAAGTGGGGTATTATTAAAGGATACTGTAGGACAAGAGGACATAGGTTTACGACGAAGGGTAAACGTGATTTGATGGGATTTATTGGAATTTATTTTGATCCTCCATTTTTGAAACCATTCTTCAAGGTTTGTGATGTGTGATTGAAGGGTTTGGGATGCAATTGTTGGGTCGTTATTAATTGATAGGACACATGTATCATCGGCATACGTGGTAATAACAGTGTTAGGATGGGTTGGGATATCAGCTGTATAAACTGTGTAAAGGATAGGACCTAGGATACTACCTTGAGGAACACCAGCGGACTGGGAAAAAAGGGATGAATAGGCATTATTATGATTTACTTTGAAGGATCTATCAGTTAGATAGGAACGGATAATGAGGAAGTATGTAGGGTGTAGGAATTTACGGAGTTTGTAAAGCAGTCCTGGGTGCCAGACTCGATCAAAAGCCTGTTCTACATCGAGAAAGACTCCCGTGCAGTACATTCCGCGCTCCAATGCAGAGGAGACAACATCCACCACACGATGGCATTGCTGGATAGTGGAATGGGATCTGCGGAATCCAAATTGATGATCTGGGATAATGTGATTAGAATCTAGGATGGGGTGCAGGCGTTTTAGGATGAGCTTTTCCAGGATTTTGCCTAGGATGGGTAAAACGGAGATAGGGCGATAAGAGGATGGGTTTTCTGTTGGCTTTTTGGGTTTATGTGTCATTTTGATAATAGATAATTTCCAAGGGTTAGGAAAGTATGTGGTTCGCAGAACAGCATTATATATATACGTAAGGAATAGGATGGCTTTCCGAGGAAGCAGTTTTAGGATCTGGGATGTAATTAGGTCGTGCCCAGGAGCTTTTCGGGAAGGTAACCTTTGAATGATGTCGGATATTTCTGAAGGATGAAAGGCTTTAGGTGGAAGAGACATTTGGAGTGGGATATCCAGTTCTGCTTCTATACATTCAAGGTGATTTGGGTTATGAATATCAGGGTGTGGATTAAAGGTTTTAAAGAGGTGATGAGCAAAGATTTGTGATTTTTCTTCATCGGATTTGGACCAGGTTTGAGCTTCAGTAAGAAGTGGATGATTACAGTCTTTAAATTTTAGGAGCCTTTTAGTGGTCATCCATAGTGATTTGTCGGTAGGTGTAAGTTTTTCAGTAAAATTTAGTAGATTTTGAATCTTGTATTTTCTAATTTCAGATTTTAGTTTGTTAGTCAGTTGGGTATAGTGAGTTTTATCTGTTGGATATCTGGTTCTATGCCACTTCGATCTTGCTCTGCGTTTTTCCTTCAATAAGATACGAATATGCTGTGGCAAGTCAGTCTTTTGTGAATTGTTGAACTTATTGATAATAGTGTTATTATTTATACTGTCTGTTATTGATGCTATCAGTTTTTCAATGGCACCATTAATGTCCTCTTTTGTCTTTAGCGGAATTTTTAAGTCTAGTTTGTTTTCCAAATCTTCACGAAATTGGTCCCAGTTCACTCGTCCTGTGATCAATTTAGGAGGTGATGGTTTAGGAGCATAGCTCGAATGTAGTGAAAGTAGAACTGGACTATGGTCTGAAGAAAGGTCATCAAGGGATTTGATTATGGTTTGTGAGGAGGAGATCTGGGAAGTTATAAATATATCTAGGATATCGGGACGTTTTTTGAGGGATGTTGGCCAATAAGTAGGACTCATGGGCGAAAGGATTGAATAATTGTTGGAAGATGAAACACGTGATAGGATGTTACCGCGGGGGTTGGATGTTCGACAACCCCATCGTTGGTGTTTAGCATTGTAGTCCCCTCCAGCAATGAAGCGCGATCCGAGGGATTTGAATAAGGAATCAAGGAGGTTATAGGAGAGGGAATTACCAGGAGGACAGTATACAGCTGAGAATGTGAGATGGAAAGGGCGAGTTGAAAGGACTACGGAAGTTGATAAAATTTTTAAATCTATAATCTCCCCTCCTCCAAAAAAAAAAAAAAAAAAAAAAAAAAAAGCACCAAATATATAAAATATTTTGTACCCGTCTACTGATCACAATCTAACTTTTACTATGACTGTTTAATTGCTCCGTATTTTTATAAATGTATTTCTGAGGCTCCTTAGCCGATATTTATGTCTTTCTGTATTATTCTAAAGGGACTCGTCCCAGAATAAATAAAGTATTATTATTATTATTATTATTATATTTCTTTGTGTCACATTTGCTGAATGTATATTGATTGTACAGTTGTAAATTTCATTAATAATAATAACAAATAAATAAAAAATTTTACATTGTATTATTGTCGCTAGAACGCACAGTTTCACTGATATAAGCAAATAACCGAAAAAGTGAACTTTTTGAATCGTAAATCAGAGCGTCCAGCGCCCGGGAAATCCTAGAAAAGCAGGAATTTCTCAAATCCGTAAATGAACGGAAATTTAAAAAAAGATAAAACGGTAATTTTTTTAAAAAAATTTATTTATTATCCTTTATCCTATATTTTTTTCCTATGAAATTAAAAAGGTCATCTGTTGATAATATTATACGTTCCTGAGGATGGGAAGAACATTTCTAGAAACATCAACAGATATAGTAATAAAAAAAGTATAAAATTCAATAAAAAGACGTCCTCCTGCGTATAATTCTTTATTTTATTTTGCTACCAGTTTAGCTCCTCCGTAAGGCTAAACATAATAATTATCTATAAATTAAAGATATAAAAATAAACAACAATAAAAAGCAAAATTTACAAATCAATCTACGAAATAAATGAAAACATAACAATCAAATAAAAACTAATTATCACGTAATTTATTGCAATCTCCTACGTCTTGTTTTCATTAGCCGCTACAAATTTAATGCGAATTTAACACAGAATCCTCAAATCGTTTATTATTAACATTCGAACATAGCACGATGTTTTTCGTTGTATTTTTCTTAATTTTTGTTTTCAAGAAAATCCATTATTTACCGTTTAGATATAGGTTGTATGAATTTTCACGGTACTATTTTTATGTGGATTTTCAAAACAATAATTTGTGAATGGGGAATTTTTCATATAATCGTATTAAAGAATATTCTTATTTCTCCAACAAATATTAATTTTATTAAACATTTTTCTTTTAAACCCATATTTCCAACCCGTATTTACTCATATAAAAGGGAATACTGTTGTATTTACAGATGTTAATAACAGTATTGTCAAATTCATCAGCATTGATTTTAAGAATCACATTCTCTTCTTCTTTCACACAAGTACAATGATGTAGTAGTGGATACTGTTGGAATATCACAAAGGAGAGATTCATCAATTTTTTCATTAATTTAATTTTCTAAAAAGTTACATGACAATTTTTCGGAATAAGTGTTGATTATTTAATTATTACTATTTAATTGAACGTTGATATACTAATTACTTAAATATATCCGATCTATAATCAATAAACCACAGTAAATTTATTTTAGGTTATAAACATATGCTTTATTCATGCATGAAATGTTTTTAAAAAGGCCATTGTCTTGATTTGGTGGATTTTAAATGCTTTCTACAAACGTAAAAATGTTTTTTAATCTTTACATTTAGTTTGTAATTTTTATTTAATTTCCTTGAAGACATGTGGTTTACGTTAAACATTACCAGTTTTCAAAAATTATTATTTATAATTTTTTTGCCGCTCTCCGTTACCTTCTACAACTTTCTAAATTAGATATTGTTTTTTCTAAAATTCTCCGCTTTCCAATGATGTATTTTAAGTATACCTTCTGACTTGTATTTCTGGAAATTTATTTTCGACCTCTATAAGCATTTTTATTTTTTTCTCCTTTATTTAATTATCAAATTCTTTTAAAAGTTGTATTTAGCATTTTTTCGTAACTTTTAATTAATTAATGAGAGATAGTTGATTATTTAAAATAAACCATATTAAAGGTACTTTAGAGGATGACACATATGAACATTGGGCATTTAAGCCCTGTAAAGTGACATCATCGGGGATAAGACTTCTATGATATTAAAGACCACTTAATTATACAATGATATACCAAGTTTAATCAAAATCGTTAGTGCCATTTTTGAGAAAATTGTAAAAATGTGTTTCAGCGTTGATATAATGTGGCGCTTCTGGTTAACCGATTTTAAGAAAAAAGTTGCTATCACATCTAAGGCATATATCTATCTTAAATACGTAATATCAGTTGTGTAGGATTTTTCGTTTTCGAGCTAGAGTGGTCTCATACACACAGACACACAGACCGTTTTTCGGGACTATTTGGACTGAGGCTACCCCAAAACATGTATTTCCGTTGAAAACTCAGAAAAAAAAGCCGTATTTAAGAGTTTAAGTGGGTGCTAAAAACGAATTTGAATTTTTTTTTTTATGACGAAAATGTATATTCCCTACTTTGATGACAGTATCTTTGGGTTTTGTTATTTATTATACGTTGGAATTCATTTAATACAATTAGCAATATGTTTTTCATATTTTACAACAAAAAAAATCTATTGATATATATACTTAATAACTTAGAAATCCATGCGGAGTATAGTCAGGAAACAGTGATACAAAAAATATCAAAAAGTTATAAAATAAGTTGTCTCGGCTCCTAGGAGGTATTCCCAAATATCGGACATGGCCTAATATTTTTCGACCTAGTATCACTGAAAAACTTTTCATTGAATTCGGTGATATTAATTCCGAAGTTAGCCGATTTCCAGATTAAAAACGCCCAAATTCCAAGAGTTTTCGTTAATGAAATAGTTGTAGGTTTCGATGAGATAAAGCAATTCAGGAAGTTTTAGGCGGATGTTAATAATTTGACAAAAAGGGGTCTGTACCACGGAATACTAGATAGATGCATATGTCACTGAGAAGAACAATTGAAACATCTCAATGCATAATCAAACCGATTACAACATTGTTTGCCTCTTACACGGGTAATTATTTTTGTCACAGACACGTGGAATGCATTTTTACCTAATTTACAAATTCTAGTCCGTATAAAAGACCCTTTCGCTGATCTGACAAACCACACACAGCAAGATGTTGTTCTTCAAAGCTGTTCTCGCTTGTGGATTTGTCGCTGTAGTTCCGACTGTCAGTAGCCAAGCTGTCCCCTCTACTTCTACATCACCAATATGGAACTCTTTTCCATCAGGATCAGGCAAGAATATACAAGACAGCTTCAATTATCCAGCTAAATGGGTCAGCTCAGCAGGCAGTAACAAGATTATCAAGGATGCAGTCCAAAGGTTCACGGATACCGGAGAACAGATTGCCAATACAGTTATCAGGGTGGGCACTTTGCCTTTGAAGGTTGGATTAGATGTTCTCAAGAACGGAATCAGTAAGAATATATTTTTATTATTTTTAAATCTTTATATAATCAATAATGAAATGAGACGTCTACAAACAAAAAAATGAAAATCCTGGATGTGTAATATATAGACTGTCCATTTTTCTTGAAATATAGAAGAATACTGTGAGCGAGAGAAATGTTCAGCATTTCATCTTTTTCATAATGAACTATTATTTATAATTTATATTTCATATCATTAATCTCGAATTGTTGATGTTTTCACTTTTTTCGTGTCGTAAAAAGTACACACCTTAGTTTTTTTTTTATTATGTACTCCTGACATGAAGCTTTCGGTACAAGACGAAAAATTCATCTTTTTCTAATCTGTATGTATGTCCACATTGGATGTCGTTAAAAAATTATTCGTAAACAAAAATGTTTCCATTATTATTTCTTTCCAATCATTAATAGATTGCCTGTTTTGTTAAAAATCTATATTATTGGACGAAAGAGGATTTTTTCCTGTCTATCTCGGGTCGTAATATGAGTACGAAATAAAATAAAATATAAAATAGTGCGATAATCTATCAATGATTAGAATCAAAAAATAATTTAATAAAGAACTTTAATTTTTAAGGATTTATTAATAAAGAACGACTTCCTAAGTGGATGGATTCAGATTAGAAACAGATGAATTTGGTCAAAGGCACCGAAAGTTTCATGTAATAATTAATTAATTAAAAAATGAGACTGTACTAACCGGGCATTCTTCGATATTTCTGGAAAATCTATTTTATTTTATTTTTATTAAGCCTTAGTTTTAATTTTACACACTTGGCACACTTTACTGAATTTATAAAATTATTTACTATTTTAACAATCGCCTAAAATCTCTAACCTACTATATTAACATAATTATTATTTAATTTAAACAAAAATTAAAGGTATTTTTGAGGAAGACATTTTAAAAATTCGGTATTTAAGATATGTCTGACAATTTAAATGAGTGTGGTCTAATAAAATGATATCCGTAAAATATTAAAAGTCCCTTAATTTTCCCCCACTTTCGGTTTTTCGATTTTGGTAAAGAGGTTACTGTCTGGCGTACGTATGTAAGTTCAGTTTATGCTAAATACGTATTTTCACTTTATACTTTTCGTTTTTGAGCTAGCCTGTTCAAACACCTACATATACTCTTTGATAACGAAACTAGTTTTTATTAGACTTAGGATACATAATAATAAATATATATATATATATATATATATATATATATATATATATATATATATATATATATATATATATATATATATATTTATATATATGTATATCACGCTCAACCATCAGGTTTTCCCCCTTACTTAATTAATTATATAATGAAGATTACCCACTTTATTGATCCTGGGCGTGCCTCAGGAGAGTCTCCCTATCCCAGAGGCGATCCACCTGTTACAGCTGCCCTCTAAGCCGGGAAATTGGTTATAAAAAGTTAGTGTCTTACCCACTGAGATACTCTACCCCGATTGCTAAACACAATTCTTGAAATTTTTATTTTCACCATTTAAGAACTGATACATACAGCGTAGTATAGATGTGTTTAATATAATTATTTTTCACTCTATCCCAAAGGCAATCCACCTGTTACAGCTGTCCTCGAATCCGGGATCTTGAATATAAAAAGTTAGTGTCTTACCCACTGAGATACTCTACCCTCATTGCTAAACAAAAAACTTGAAACTTTTATTTTCACCATTTATCAACTGAGACACCCAGTATAGGGTAGCAATGTTTGATATATTTATTTTAATTTTATTTTTTTTACTTTCCTACCTATACTAGGTAAGGAAAGTATTGCAATCGGATCAAATTTCCGGAAAAAATTCAGGAAAAAAAGTTATATTTAAAAGAAAAATGTTATGGGGCCTAACTCCCTAAGTATATATTATACGGTGAAATTTATTATGAAACTTTTGAAATGAAATTAAATTTCTAACAAAACAAAAAAAAAATCATCGGAATCGAACCAGTATTAGCGATGATACAGCTTATTCTATTTTTTACTCATTTTTTTAACTTATTTTATTACTTCCCTACCTATACTAGTTAAGGAAAGTATTGCAATCGTGTCAAATTTCCGACATGCGGTTTTCGAAGGTTCTATACGTTCAGTGCCTCCTGAGTCCGAAAAACACATTTTTAGCCATTGGTCTATCTTTCCGTCTGTGCCAAGATTTTCTCGGGAACTACTGAACCGATTTTGTTGCTTCTTTTTTTATTTTGTAGGGGTTTGACTAATGATGCCTGTGACAGAAATTCGTAGCTCCATGCGCAATAGCTTGCGCGCAATAAATGAAAAACATGTTTTTCTATAGACTGTAGCGCGAAAACGGCTCTAACGATTTTGATGAAACTTTTCTATGATGTTCTAATCATCGTCCTTTCAATTTCCGTATATAGACTACATTCCCGAAAAAAATTAGGAAAAAAAGTTATATTGAAAAGAAAAATGTTATGAGGCCTAACTCCCTAAGTATATATTATACGGTGAAATTTATTATAAAACTTTTGAAAAGTAATTAAATTTCTAACAAAAGAAAAAAAAGATCATATAATGTAATATTTCTAAATAAATAAGGTTATAAAAAAAAGAAATAATCAGAGGGTCAATACATTTGAATTTATCGATATTTGTTGTGAACACAAACCATAACCAGTAACATTTATTCTAGTTCTTAACGTGGTTCGCTAGATTAGATCAAAAATAATGATTTATATATTCATCTTTCAACAGGTATTGGTAATAATAACTATGAAACAATTCCTGGAAAGAAATGGGTTGAGACCACGACAAAACCTTGGGCAGATAATACTCACAAAACTGAAGGGACTGGTACCAACAAAGGAAGCGAATACGCAAACGGTGGTTGGGATCAGAGCAATTCAGGCAACACTGGAATCAATTGGTCGAGTAGTCCAGATCTAACTGGAACCGGATGGACGAACGGTCAACAGAAGGAAACTGACGTGGCTGGGAATACAGTCGTAGCCATCTTACCTCCGGCCACTTCCACTTCAGGCAAGACTTCAATTTCTGGTGAAGCAGCTTCAATCGATGAGAGTAAACAGAAATCAGATTAAGATGCTGCCCTAGGACCGTCCAAAGCACAAAGGAATGTAATCTTGGATCCGAATTTGGCAATTAGTAATAAAATAGCGAAAATGTATTTAACATATTTAGTAGTTCAATAAAGCATAACAGTTCACCCTTCTGTTTTCCTTGATCTTCTAGAATTACATAAAACCCAAACGAATATTATAAAAATAAAAAACAAAGCAATGCATTTCCAAAACAAAAGTCAATAAATCCAACTTTTCCCTAATTTGTATAAATTTTTAATTTTTTTTTTTCGATGCATATTTACAAAGTTAATTAGCTTTAAGGAAAAGTGATTGGGACAGAGCTTCTTGACTTAAAATAGAGATTCCATTTTCAAGACGGAAATCTGTGAGATACTTTTCAGTTTTTTTTTTTTTTCACTGTAGTCTATGAATGAACATATTTAGTCTACAAAGGTATTTTATTACCTTTTATAAATGAATATTTATAAAGTAGAGCTGAAAGAGGTTTGAGGGCATCATATTTGGCAGCAGTACACGTCATAATACAGTGGACTCTGGCCACACCCACAGTTCCCACCACACCTCTCAGAAACTATCACTTGAACTATCAATTGTTTATCACTTGAATTCTATCGCAATCCTGATTCATGCCAGTTTTCCATGATAGTAATCCATCCAGACGTTATAGTCACTGAATAAAATCAAATCACGAATCAAAATGAAAAATTTAAATCAATAATCTCTCCCCCCCCGCAAAAAAGAGCACTAAATATATAAAATATATTGTACCCGTCTACAGATCACAATCCAACTTGGTGTGGACACAGATATTTTTTTTATAAAGAAAAATGTTAAAGCTAAAGTAACAAATAAACACTGGCCGATGACATCACGGCATCCAGAAGAAATGTAAAAAATCCTTAACAATAAATCCTGTTTTCTCACCGATAAAAAACAATAATAGTTAAAAGTATTTTGGTGGAGTCTTTTTCCAAAAGTATTTACATCAATCTTTTTAAGATACCTAAGGCTTTCAATCTTCTTATGAACAGGTTTGTGTTTGCCTAAATAATTAGTTTTTCTTGCCTTCATTTGAAATATATTATAAGAAAAATATTGCTAAAAGTATTTCCATATAAGAATAATGTCGAGTGCCACTTTTTTTAAAGTGCCACAATTTTGAACATTTTTGGGAATTTCACAGTCTTCACAATTTTTGATATTTTCGTCGTATCACAATTTTTTTATATTTTAGAGTTTTTCACATTTATTGTAGTTTTCGCATTTTTTTTTTCAATTTGACATTCTCGTCTTTTTTGATATTTCAAATTTTTCCGTTTAAGTTTTTATACTTTTTTTATTGATTTCACATGTCTAGAGATTTTCGTGGTGTTGGTACTTTTCCTCATTTTCATGGTTTTATCCATTTTTCTTTTTCCGTGTTTTTCAGAATTTTCGGGATGTCGTTGTTTTTCGATATTTTTCGACATAGCGGCGCTTTTTGACATTTTTACGATTTTTGGCGTTTTTCTTAAATATTAATATTTTATTTGTCCTCTAAAAATTTTCGACAATTTTTCTTTCTTGAAAATGTTTGTTATTTTTTCGTTTTATACAATTTTTAAAATTTTAGCTTTTTGTACAATTTTTTATACTTTCATTTTTTTACAATTTGACTTTTAGATGATAATGGTATATTTCAATTTGAGGACTTCCAAATAAACAGTTCAAAAAATGTAACGTTTAAAAGGCGCAGAGGTTTAATAGATTATTATTTATTATAATAGCTTCGTCAAAATCCTTACTGTCGTAAGGACATGTTGGTTTTTATCTCAATATATAATAATAAATATTAACAAACTAATATATTCAGGTAGGTTATTATTATCTATTATTTGTATATATTTTATTATTTTTATGATATAGTTCATGATTTATTATTTTCGTTGGAAATATCAATGAAAAAAAAAAACTCATAATTGAGCTAAGTTTCATATTCAAGCTCAAATAGTTTTTGTGACATCATACGTGAGTTGTGAGGCGACAAAATGGATCTCTTCTGATTGACAAAAGATGGCTTCATTGTTATCAATTTCAGATGTATTGCATTAATTTATTTACAATATGATATGATCTTTTCCCAATGTATCAAACCAAATGAAGCCCACCAAACAGTAACCATCAAATTTTTTTTGATGAGTTAGGGGATTTGGAAAATGTTTTGCTGCTGTTATCGTAAAGTATCCACTTTCCATCTCAAGTAACAATTCTTGACAGAGGTTGTTTTTATTCGGCAAAGGAGTGTGGAACATACTTCATAACGATGGTTTTTCTTGGCGATAGTTTAATGTTCGTGTGACCCAACTTTCAAGCTTTTTTACCTATCCAAACGCCTTGAGGTGGCCATCGATTGTCGATTTTGTTATGTTAAGTTTCCCTTCAAGTTCTCGAACATTTGTTGTGGAATTTTCTTCCATCAAAGCCTGCAAAACATAGTCATCAAGAGACGAAGTTCTTCCATGACTTTGTTTGTCTTCAAGGCTGAAGTTTTCCTCTCCAAAATTTTTTAAATTTTAAATGAGGCCTTTTAGGCTATAAGGGATTTTCCCGGGCCGGAGGGTGAAGGCAGGGAATTAAAAATTTCCTCTGTCACCGGGGCACGAACTCGTACCTTTTTTTTTTTCTTTATTCTTTCTAAATGATATTTACAACTTTATTAAATAAATACATCAAGTAAATTTGAACATATGGATATAATGACATGAAAACACTTCCTGAGTAACTACCCAACGGTAGCACTCTAATGATATGTCTACATTAGGAGATCACGGGGCCATCTTATTTTCAGACGCCTCAGAGGGTTATCAGGAATTAAAGAGGAAGCAAGGTTAGAAATGAGAGGGTTGGAGTGATTCTGAAGTTTATTATGAAAGGATAGGTATCTGAATTGGACCAGATCTGAAACAAAAGAAACATTAAGGTCTTTATGGATGGTTTTATTTTAACAAAGAAGGGAGCATTGAGGATTTTACAAAGGATTTTGGATTGTAAGGATTGGATACGAGAGAAATTCGATGGTTTGGTGGAGCCCCATTGCTCAACTCCGTAAGTCCAAATAGGCCTTATTATAGTCATGTATATGAGTCTTTTGTAATTTATTGGGAGCTTAGAGCGTTTGGCTAGTGAGAGCTGAAGTAATCGGAAACGTCGAGCGGTTTCTTGTCGTTTCAGTCTGGTATACTTTTTTTTTTTAAAATCTCATATTAAACCATCGAATTCCTCTCGCATCCAATCCTTACAATCCAAAATCCTTCGTAAAATCCTCAATGCTCCTTACTTTGTCACTAATAAAATAATCCATAAAGACCTCAATGTTCCATATGTTTCCGATTTGGCCAAATCCAGATACCTATCCTTCCATAATAAACTTCATAACCATCCGAATCCTATTGTTTCTAACCTTGCTTCCTCTTCGATTCCTGATAACCCTCCGAGGCGTCTGAAAAGAAGATGGCCTCGTGATCTTCTCATGTAGACAAATTATTAGAGTGCTACCAGTGGGTAGTTTCTCAACAAGCGTGTTTCATGTAATAATATTTCTCTGTACAAATTTACTTGATGTATTTATACTAATATAGTTGTAAATATCATAATAAAAGTTAAAAAAAAAAAATGTCATATTCAGGTCATCTGGTTGCCGGGAAACTTGCGGTTCTGTGCACACGCTTTAAACCATTCGGCCACCCCGCTCCCCTGCTGGAACGATATTTTTGATTGGGCCATAAGTTGGAAAATTAAAATGAATGAAAAAAAAGTGTGTACTTAGTATTCACTCTTAATCATACCTCTTCCCCCAAAATATATTGAGATCCCTTAATCCGATATAACATCAATAACATTGAGATCCCTGAATCCGATGTAATTAAATAATTTGGTTTATACCTGGTCAAAAGACCTACTTAGAGGACACACATTAGACAAAAACGTATGGAATTAAATAGATGCTACGGTCTTTTATATAGATTACTTTATAGATATTCAAAATTATCATTGACAAACAAACTAACCATCTATAAAGTTTAATTTAAATCAATTTGCACTTATAGCATAAAACTGTGCGGTTCTTCTAAATTTTCCAATATTAAAAAAATCCAGTCGTTCCAATCCAAAATTTTACGAAGGATAGTTGACGCAACATTTTATGTCACATCCCAACATCCCAACAATTTTAGACACTGCAAAAGAAAGCTACAATAACTTTCACCAAAGACAAACTTACAACTACTCTGACAGAAAACCTTAAACGCACCAGAAACCCGTACAGCCCAGCTCGACGATTTCGTAGGCGGTGGTCAAGAGACCTGCTGAACTAATCTATTACCTGGATTTGTGATGAGACGCTGTGAAACTGCCAAAAAGATTTGCTAATTGCAAAAAACATTTGCAGATCGCAAACTTAATTTTATGTCCAATTTTGTGTTTATGTATTAATAATAAAAACTTTGACAAAATATTATGTAAAAATTTTCTTCGAAAATCGTATAAGCGCATATAAGGTTAGATGCATCTGTGACTGAAGATAATTCTTTAAACATCTCGATGAATAATCAAAGTGATTGCAACATTGTTTGCCTCTTACGGGTAATTATTTTTGTCACAGACACGTGGAATGCGTTTTCACCTAACTTACAAATTCTAGTCCATGTAAAAGACATAATGGCTGATCAGACAAACCACACTCGGCAAGATGATGTCTTTTAAAGCTGTTCTCGCTTGTGTACTTGTGGCTGTAGTTTCGACTGACAATACCGATACTGTCTCAACTACTACTACAACAGCAACAGCACCTTTATGGCCTTTGTCCACGGCAGCATCAGACAAGAATGCACTCGACTTGGGTGATTCAGCTGAAGCGATTGGATTGGACAACTCTGCATTCCAAACCGGTAATAAGATAATCAACGATCGAGTCCAAGGATTCGCTGCTCCGGGGAAGCAGATGACCAACACAGCTTTCAACCTGGGCTCTTCTTCTCTTAAGAATGGATCGGATGTGCTCAAGCAAGGAGCCAGTAAGAATTTGTTTTAAATAATAGGTTAGTTCTTTACTAATTTTTTTATTTTTAGAATTTCTTTATTGAGAATTATTACAATCCGTCTTAGTTGTTTGGTTATTTTGATGTTATAGGCGCAAAACATCTAAGTCATCATAAACCATAAACTATTATTATTGAAATATTCAGCTGGTAGGTTTAATGAGAATAAAAAAAAAGTAAAATAATAGATAAAAAAAATATACATGTATATAACAATCTCTCTCAAAGACTATTTATAATAGTCTTCAGAGATCACATTCAAACTATATGTACAATAAACAAAAATACATTTATCAGCAAAATAATACATATATAATAAATAAGAATAAAATAACTTAAAGATAAATAAATGTTTAAAAAAATAACATATACATATTTTTTTTTTCTTGTTCTTCCTTACTTCGCCTTTTTTAGGCTATACGAATTTTCCCGGGCCGGAGGGCGAGGGCGAGGAATTTAAAATCCCCTTCGACACTGGGACGCGAACTCGTACTTTCTTTAATCTCATAACTTCGGTTATCTGGTTGCCGGGTAACGTGCAGCGCTTTACACACACGTTAGATCATTCTGCTACCCCGCCCCCTTCCCAACATATACATACCTGTATACACTTTTAACAATCAGGGGACTGGAGGGAAAAGGTGGACTCCAGGGGATCCCTGCACTCCTCTGTCAACCACGTCACTAGTGCTAAACCCAGTGGAGATTGAGCGATACCGCTTTAGCCACATACACTCATGTCGTGGGTGGGGAATATGGCCATTATCAGAACACCAATATATAGAAACTATAAAAGCGATGGTTAGGAACAGGGCTAGTGGTTGATAGGTAAGATTCTAGTGAAATTAGGAGAATTTTCTGAGATACGATCTAGCACAATTGAGATATTAAGGCCATGGTGCAGTGTTTTGTTGGTTACATAAAAAGGAGCATCGGCTATTGTTCGAACGACTTTAGGTTTTTCTAAACTGCTATATCATCCTAAGCATAATCTAATCCTCTTTGCCACTTATGCAACGTAAGCCTGCTTTTTGTTGATCTTGGACTAGGCTTACATTTCCCGTACTAAATCTTGTCTCCTGTTCCATTCTAAACCTCGCTCCTGGAACGCATCTCGTACGCCTGCCTCCTAGCACATTCTCCTTGATATTTATTTATATGAAATACTTCAACGAAAAAAAGCTGAGGAAAATATTAGGTTGAGTGGTAAAATCATATATCCAAAAATATAACTCAAAATTATAAACTTTTTTGGGGGTTTTCTAATATGGTGTTTCGAAAGTATGTGAATTTCCTAAAAAAAAAAAAGTTTCACCAAAATCAGATCATTATAAGTATAAAAAATAAAAAACAAAAAATAAAAGTATAAAAAATTAGATCATTATAAGTAAAGATATCGCGGTTTTTAAATAATTTTGGTTTATTATTTTCAATAATAAATGTTCGTTTCTGTTTTGAAGTTAATTTAATTTTTTGTGTCACATTGCTTGCTATTGCATAGTTTATTCATGTCCTTAATTGAGACAGAATGTTATATTTCTCAATAAAAAAAAAAATAAAAAAATTGACAGTGAAGATTGTGACAATAAAAATGCCGATGAAAAATTCTGAATTTTTCTTTTGCATATTTGTAAATATGACTAGCGTTAAATAAAAGTGGTGGGAATTGAGCTAGATCAAAAGAGTGGAGACACGGCTACAAACTCGCCTACCAACGCCTAGCTCATAGAGTTAGATATTTTAAACTTCTTATCCTAAAATTGCAAATGTAATTGTAATATCGGATTCCCTAAGTACTCTTAAAACCATGAATAGCATGTATCCAGACCATCCAGGGATACACTGGTTCAAGTCTTAGAATAAAAATGCTTCGTGAAGTTGGAACAACGGCACATTTTATCTGGATGCCTGGACATATAGTTGTTAAAGGAAACGAAATGGCTGATAGAGCAGCAAAAGAAGCTCTTACCCTTCCAGGCCGCGCTAAAGTTTTTTTGACACCATCTGAACTTGCACGACCTCTGAGAGAAACCATATTCCAAGAATGGCAAAGAAGGTGAGACAACAGCGCACCTAGCAAATTGAAGACAATAAAGAAAGAGGTGCAACCGTGGACCAGCTCCAGACGCAGCAGTCGTAGAGAAGAGGTCGTCCTCACGCGGCTGAGGATCGGACATACTAGACTGACTCACCTCCACCTCTTAACAAAAGATTCTATCCCCCGATGTCAAAAGTGTAAACCAATCACTAACTATAAAACATATTTTGGAAGAATGCCCTTTTTACACCGCAAGATTAAAAGATTTTGGAATACCCCAGAATATATAAGCATCCCTGGGAAATCAAGAAGAAATCATTACTAAAATTATGAAGTTCCTAGACAATGAAAGTCTTATAAAGCATATATGACAAGTTTATAACTAATGATCCTTTGCAGATTTTTATTTTATTTTAAAAGTTTATTTATTTATTTATTTCAATTCATTTATTGATTTTATTTGTTTATTTTTAAGTTTATTTGTTTATCTTATTATATATAAGTGTTATTATTATCTTTATTTATATATTATATTTTTTTTTTTTATGATTTGTCTTATTTTTATTTTTTGCACCAACCATCTAAACAGTATAAATGTAGTTTTATTTAGTAGATCGGGCAATGGTGATCTCGATGTTTTGCGCCTTGACATCGAAACAAATGAACAAGAAATATGTCTCTATTTTCGTTTCACTCTGTTGTCCCTGAGAAGAAATTTGTAGTTTAAAATGTATAAAGTAGAGCTGAGAGAGGTTTAGGGGAATTGTGTTTAGCAGCCTTGGACGTTTCACTATAGTGGACTCAGGCCACACCTCCAGTCCCCACTCGAGTTATAACTAAATATGAACATTTTTTTATTATTTAAAAAGAGCAATGATATCGTAGGCACCATGTTAATGTAAACCTGTTAATGTAAACAGCGTTGCACATTTTAACGTGGTGCTGACGGAATGTTCTTTATCAGTTAAATTTAATTTTTATTTAAATTTAAGTGATTTTTTTCCATGCAAGTGTCCAATTTAGTTATCCTTCTAATTAAATATAAAAATATATAGCAGCTGAAATATTCTAAATTTTTAAAGTTTCTGATCATTTGTTCAAAATGATTAATGGACAGTGTACAGTTGCATTGAAAATTACCCAGATAATTTTATACAAAATAATGAAATAAATACTGGTGAATATATATAAAAGATATTTTAAGTAAGGTTATTAAACAATTCAATCTTAAAAAAAAATAATTTATTATTTATAAAACATAAAAAATACATATATATATAATAATGTACATCAGTCTATTAGTACAAATCATGGTGATTTCCAACCTTTGTATTTGTGCCCTGAATTCAACTCGCCATGATACACCTCAACGTAGGCTGCTGGTTTGTGATGTTGATAGTGCTTCGAATGATCCTCTTCTTTGTGTGAGTAACCGTGTTTCGAATGATCCTCTTCTTTGTGTGAGTAACCGTGTTTAGAATGATCTTCTTCTTTGTGTGAGTAACCGTGTTTCGAATGTTCCTCTTCTTTGTGTGAGTAACCATGTTTGGAATGTTCCTCTTCTTTGTGTGAGTAACCATGTTTCGAATGTTCTTCTTGGTAGTAGTACCCGTGCTTTGATTCGTCTTCTTCTTTGTGGTAATAACCATGCTTCGAATGATCTTCTTCCTTGTGTTTCTCTTCTTTTTTCTCTTCCTTCTTCTCCTCTTTTTCCTTATGATGATACTCGACCTGCTGCTGGAAGATGTCTTCGGGATAGTGGTCCTTGCATTGCCACTGCTGGCATGTCCATTCCTTGCACAGAGGCTCACCCTTGTCCCATCCCTCAGGGATTAGTCCGAAGCCCTGTTGCTCTGAGGGTTGAGCGACCAGGAGTAAGGCGAAGAGAAAGGCGAACGCAAACATGACTATGGATACGAAGTTGTCGCCACGAAATATATATATGGCGAAGAAGGTGGAGGGGACCATTGCTTCTGAAAGAAAAAGTTGTTCGAAGCTTATTAGGTTAGTTTTGAGGTATTTCCTGAAACTAGGGATTCATATTGTGTCCATTTATTACAACAAGTCAGTAGGTACATATGATACAAATATAATAACAAACTATAACTTATGCTATAAGAATGCAAACAATAATCATATAAATAGGCAAAGAGAAAATCTTGCAATACATTTCTCTCCTCTGTTTGCCAACCGATTTTTTTTTTTTTTTTTTTTTTTGTCAGCGACCGACGAGTTTTAGTTTTGTCAATTAATTTCATAACAGTAGATATTGAGTAAAACTCTGTCACACGGACAATGATAATGATCCAGGAAATATAAAATAAATAGAAGAAAAATAACAGCTAAATAATAATCTTATATTATATAAAATAAAGTTTTAAAAATATCGACGTACTTATACAAACTATTTACTATTATAAAATAAGGCTCTGTTTATTTTTTCACCATATTTATTTTAATTGTTATAGCTACGTTTCGGCCGGTAAGCCATCCTCAAGCCATCTATAATATAAACACCATTATTTATTTATTTTAATGTAATTCTGCAATCTATGAAGGTGGTATTAGTCATATTCAATTATATATTCTATAAATTATAACTCTAATATTAAGTTAGGTCAATTTTTATTTTTTTTATTAAACTCTGGCAGTTAAATTGTAAATTAACAATATTAACAACAATATGAAGACATGTTAGGAAATTAAGTTGGTTAAACATTTTTCAATGAATATAAACTTCAAATTAGATTTTTGCAAAATAATAATAATTCTTATTATTTTACATATATACAGTGTATACCTAACAAAATCTAAAAACATACATCTGAAAACATATAACCGTCTGAGGGTATAACAGTACATATAAATTTGCATTTTTATTTATTAAAGAAAAAAAAGTGGTTAGTTAATTTTTAAATGCCATTATATGAATAGACAACGACAAAACGGTGGGCGGGGTGGCTGAACGGGCTAATATGTGTGCACAGCACCGCCGTTGCTTAATATATGATACAATGCTAAAATATAGAATAGAATAGAAAAATAATTTTACTCTGGGGCGAAGTCCCTTTAGAATAACATAAAAGTACAATATTAAAGTATTATATCTGGCCTAAGTAAAACAATATAAAAAGTAAAAATAAAGAAAAAAAAGTAAAGAAAATCTTAGTTAAACATACTATGTACAAAATAAAAAAATCTATATAAAAACACTTGAAACCATGCCAAGACACTTAAAACTATGTACAGTGGTAAAACATAAGTATACACTATAAAAAAAATATATATATAGTCACGAGTTCGAGTCCCGGTGCAAAGATTTAGTGAATAAATGAGAAAAAAAGAAAAGTGCTTATCCAGGTCGAAAATGACTCTCCGGAAATAATAGTTAGAAGGTACACGTATAATGAATGTATCGTTGAAAAGCGAATAATTTTAGAAAAAAAAATAATATCTAATAAATAAAGTTGTAGAAGGTAACGAAGAGTGGGAAAAAAATATTAGTAGTAATTTCTGAAAACTAATATTATTTAACGAAACCACCTATTTTCAAGGAAGTAGAATGAAATTTTGTAAATAAATCTACATTTATTTTTAAGTTTGAAAAAAAAAAGTGTATAGTGTCGACCGAATCAAGGCAATGGCATTGTTTGAAGAACTTTTTGATTGTACTTGTGTAAAAGAAGAAATGAAATATAAAAATATTTCATGGGTATGTAAAACATATATTTACTGTAGTTTAATAACTCTAGATGCGATATTATATTTTAAAAAATAAATAAACATCATAGATTTATTCTAAAAAAATTTTCCTTTCGTGAAATGACAGCATTATACACTTACAATTAGTGTGACGACTTTTAACCTATTCGGTATTTAAATGCAAGAAACTGTTTTTTGGTATATTTTCCAAAGGTAAAAAATAAGAATTGACTTATAAAAAGTGATAGAAATTCAATATCTCTAATTTTTATTATGTAGTACGATCATTACTTATTCATAGTTAAATACATGTACCTTCAAATTTCTCTTTGTCCATAGAGCTCAGAGCCTAGAATTATGTGATTCAAATAGACTAACGCAGTTATAGGGTTTTTATAGGTTACAATCGATATAATAAATAGGATTTATGTTATTGTGATGGCTGTAATGAGTTTTGTATTGATGAATATGACCAAAATTCTAAAATATGTTGTAAAAGGTTTAGCTGCATTAAAAATGCGCTTCGAAACTTCTTTTAATAGCCCAATTTTGCAAACAAGAATTGCTTTTCGAAGTAGAGCAGAAAGTTTTAGTTACCTACTGTTTAAAAATATCTATTTTTATTTTATTTTTATATATTTTTCGTATATTTTATATATTTATGCGAAATGTTAATTGCCAACACGCGCGTTGCACAATATCCTTGATGAAAGTCAATGTTCCTGAAACCTAATTACTTTCTCCAGGGTGTTGCCAGGCAGTCAGGTATCTTTTTAAGAGTATTTGTTTCAAATTACCGCCTCACATAGTAGGAAGTTCCAGTTCTTTTTTTTTTTTTCGTTTTTTCTTTTTCCATCTAGCTAAGAGCTGTGGTAGAGAATCAAGTATCAAATAATCGAAACAGGAACTTGCTTTCTCGAATTCAATTAGTGAATCCGGATTTGAAAAAACTGCCCTGCTTCCTACTATAGGAGAAAAAAATATCGCTATTTTATAAGAATGAGACAATCGATTAACATATATTTAAATTTGAATAATCTTACATTCCTTAGTTGAATATTCGAATAAATTATTCCACCTGTCTATAGTTGATCTATACTTAAGTACTTTGTATCAACGATTTCATACTAATTTGCATGTACATACTTAATTTACATATATGGCTTCAGTTAATATGCCCATCAGTACGAGGAGAAGACTAAAAAGAAGTTGGATGAGAGATCTTCTTCCTTAACAAACCATGGTAATCTCATTAAGAGAGAAATTATTATATGTTGTTGTCCTTAAATATAAATAAATATATATTTATTTCAAGATATTTTGGTTGTTAACATACACAGATCAATGAAAAATATAAGCAAGCAGAGTTAAAAAAATATATGGGCATGCAGGGTTTCAACTTTGGTAAAAAATATCCCTTTTTAGGGAAATTACAAGGTTGAAAGGGGAAACAATTTTATCAATCAAAGCTTAATTTTTTTTTCATCGGATTCTCTTCTGTCGATCCCCGACCAGTAAATTTTGATTCACATTCAATTTCTTCCTTATAATAGCGTTTCTTACCCTGTTGATCCTAGATATTCTAGCTGCTCTATTCCAAAAATTAGTTTAAACTGAAAGGAATTCTTTTCCCTGTTTTATACTGAGGGGTCACGTCTCCGAACCACACAACATTAAACTTTCTACCTAAGCATTATATAGTAATTTAAAAAAAAAAAATTAAAATATTGCTGCTCCTGAGAGAGAATAGAGTTAAGTATTCCGAATGGTTTTTTACCATCTGTTACCACCTTTTTTTTTTTTTTATTTCTACTTCTGTTCTACCATTACTTTCAATTATGCTAATATTAGGCTATTAAAAAAATATACACTGAATTTTATTTTTGAAATTTAAAATTTAAAAAATCTACTTTGGTGGTCCACTAAACCATCGAATTCCTCTCTATCCAATCCTTACAATCCAAAATCCTTCGTAAAATCGTCAACCCTCCCTACTTTGTCACAAATAAAATCATCCATAACGACGTTAACGTACCACATGTTTCCGATTTAGCCCAATCCAGATACCTATCCTTCCATAATAAACTTCAGAACTATCCGAACCCTCTTGGTTCCAACCTTGCTTCCTTTTCTATTCCTGATAATTCTCTGTGGTGTCTGAAAAGAAGATGGCCTATATATAGTAGACAAAAAAAATCTACTATATATAGTGACACTTCCTGATTTTAAAGATAAAGTTGCTGTAACATCTCAGTCTACCTATCCCTTATTAAATATGGAATTACACTTTCATACCACTTTTCGTTTTTGAGCTAGACTATTAAAACAAACAAACGAACGAACTCACACACACACAAACACACAGGCCATTTTTTGAGACTTGGTTATTCGGTCTCATGTGACCTTAAAACGTGCATTTCCGTTAAAAACTGAGATACGAAAATTTTCAAGATCGCAATACTTTCTCTTACTATATATCACATATATAGATCAGTGAAAGTAAAAACCAAAGAGTTCTGGTTCCTTTTTCTCTAAATATTGATTGAAATGTACCAAAGTATACTTAGATACTATAGCACATAATTTTCTTTTTCATACGATTTTTTTTTATAGCTAGGTGCGGGTAATAAGTTTTAAAGTGTTCATACACTAATTATAATTTTGTTACTATAAATAAAAAATATTTTTTTCAAACTAACTCGTTAGATGGTAGATTTTGGTATTAATGATTGGTTCCTTTCCCTGTTGAAAATTGGTTTTTGCATGAATTTGAAAAATCTTTCATCTATTGTGGGCACAAAATATTGAGAATTTTATAGTATTTTAACCAATATATGGAATTAATAAAGAAGTAAATTACTGGAAAATTTTCATTAAAGTGTTAATAATTGATGACTTTACCTTGGGCAAAAAAAAAAAAATAAATAAAGAGAAAAAATTAAGATAAAAAAAAAAGACTGCTATTGACAGCTCATCAATTTATCCAAACATTGTTAAATTCATAATCACTCTTTTGAGCTTTTTGCTTATTTTATTATGTATATATACATACATGACTTTATATTTGAATTTTATTTCATTAAATTTCTCCAAGAGCTTTATTAACAAAATAAAATTAATTTATCTTTGAATTGTTTTATCATTATCAAAAAGTAAAAAAGCGCTTCAATAGGGCGTTTTGTCATTCGATATTTCACTATATGGAAATACTTCAATGGAAATCTACAGGAAACACAACCAGAAACGTTTTCTAAAGTTTGTCTTGTCTCCA